GCCTGAATCCACTGAAATTATGCTCAATTGATATTGATAGAGAAACTGGTCTGGCAGCTGTTCCCTCAGTATAGTTTCTAGAGCTATGCAACATACCTTTTTTGAGGTCTCTAATTAATGCCTTCGTGCTTTGCTCGTGTTTTGTGGTTTGGTGGGGGTTTTTTTAACTGTGTAGTGTGTTAAAATTGGACAATGCAACTTTTACCTTCCATTTTTGAATTTCTACTTTTTAGTAAACCTCTTATCATCTAGAAGCAAACAGTGATTATCCTGACTTACACAGAAAAGCAAACTCTGCTATCTGCTGGCAGAAAGAATTGCTATCTCTCCAAAGGGGCTAGCACTAAAGGTGTTCAAGTGATAAAGACATGAACTGGGCTGCTGAACTGTTATTTTCTCCATTGTATCATATGTCAGCATTTCAGTTTCTTAACTTTGCTTTACTTGTAGGATGAGGGGTTTTTGTTATCATGTTCTCTAAATTCAATCTATACTACAATCGCTGTTATAAACATAAAAGTGAAAAATAACAGTGGTGTAGCTTTGTGAAATACTCCAACTTTTTCTCATAGAAAAGCTGCAGAATATTTATTCATTTCACATAGCTAGTCTTTATGACCAAAAAGTAGTATCAAGCCATTAGATATAATATCTCCATCTTTGCTATTTTAATATTCAGAAATTAATTGATTTTGATGTTTACTTTCTTGCATTTCTTTTTTGTCTCCCAAAAGCATCTAAGACTTCCAGGAGTTGTCTTGTGTTCTCAAGTATTTTTTGTATCCTCAGTCTTTTAGGCTGTTTATGAACTCATTTTAAAAATTTTTAAACTAGAATTTCAATATACTGCTTATATTAATAGAAGTTCTTGCTCCATGTATATGAAAGGACATCACTGCAAAACTCGTCCCAAACTGTCCTTATTGTCTTTGCATCCATCACAAATCTCACAAACTCATGATATTGGAAAGACTCATTATACATGGACAGACTTATGTATTAAGTAATCAGACTCTCAAAAGTTCACATACCAAGTCTGACCATGGACCACCAAAGAGAGCCAGTAGAAAGCTCACAAGGGAGGGGTGTCTGTGTGTTAACATAATTCCTTCCCACTCTGTAAGACCCAACTTGCACAGTGGGTAGATTAATTGGCAGAATTTTGGGCATCTAAATCACTTCAGCAGTAAAAACTGGTATCTGCTTCGCCTGAGATAGCAAAGTGAATTAGTCAAGATTTTTGTAGATTAGTCAAGATTTTGATCTTGGCCAGCTAAACATGAAGTATGTCAGTCTTTGGGTTTGAGGTTTTAGATGTTTTTTTAACAGGGCTGGCCATTTGCCTTGCTTTGATTTCTCAGTATGCGAACTAAGGAGAGGCTTCAAGGTGTTTGAAGTCTACTCCCAAAGATCTATCCAGACCTTGCAACATGTCCAAGTGCTTTGGAAAGGAAAGGATTGCATCAATATTTGAAGGTTAGAATACATATGAGTCCCAGATATAGCACTTGGCAGGGTGTTGGAATGGAAAAGATGGAAGGGAAATCACCAGCTCCCTGTCTATTTATTCAGTCTATTTATTTGCCTTTATCAGTTTCTTAAGCTACCACAGTTGTTAAATCAGGCAACAGGTAGGAACTTTGCAGGTGGAGAGTGGTAAATTTGAGAAGTTTTGCTAATGAAGCATTCCAGTAGCAACATGTTCTTTGTTCACCCTTTCTTCAAAGAGCATGAAGTTAATGGATGGGCTTTGACTGTATATTTTGTTAGTATGTCACAACCTCACTGTCCTTTTAATTGTGTAGGAGCCTTGAAAAGTGTGTTATTTAGATTCAGTGCTGAATTTGAAGGAAGCATGAAGTGTTTTTCTGGACTTTAGCACTGTCCTTTTTCACACCTAACAAATGCAAAGCTATTAGGAGACAGGTCTCCTGGAATGACCCAAGTACAAAGAAGTGTTAAGAAAAAAGGACTCTTTCCCAGTAGGCAGAACTATCACAGCAGTTCTGATGGCACAGCATCACTGTTTCTTTTTCTGTTCACATTTCAAATGCATCTGTCACTGTAGTATCTAGGAATCAGTAGGAGAACTAGGAGGACTGAGATTAAAGAAACTGATCTGAGCTGAGTTAAAGACTGCCTGCATTGATGGTCGTGCAATTTTTGGCCCAGGCATTTGCCAGGAAGAAGGGACAAGGGTATATTTTAGTATTTTTTACAAAAAAATGTGAAGAAGGTACAGTAGGAAAATATAGTCCCATAAATTGGGTTTTTTCAAATTATCTATGTATTTAAATCCATAGCTAAAAACATCTCAAGAAACAAAGTAACAGAATATCATTAGTACTTCAGTAATTTTTGGTATCAAGTAGGGAGGAGGACCTCAAACCTTGAGTTTCCATCACACTTATTAGACAATTTTTAATATGTCTTGTGGTTTCAAGAGGTCTCCCAGAGAGATATTCTTGAACTCAGAATAAGTTTATAAGCAGTTAAAATTGGTTAAATTACAAGTGTGCTGTAAAGTCAGAACACAAGCAATATCATCACCTGACCAAGCTGTAGTCATTTGAGTATCTGATGTTCAAGTTAGCTGGATGCTGTGCTAGAGAAAATCAGAATTTCAGTCCTCTCTTCTCACTCTCCAGATTGATGTCTAAATCTGGGAGTTACTCCCACACCTTACATACAGAGTCAGCCTGCAATGGGGATGCTTATTAAAGGGAAAGTTACTCTGCTGTAGATCATTCATATCCTTGGTGCTGCCCAGATGTAAAACATTAAAGAAGCTGAATTACACTATATGTTTACTGTCTTCTTCAGTGTATCCACCATAAATGAAAGAGAGCTGGTAACAAGCCTTAGAATTGTAATACTCTGTCTATTTGTGTAGGACTGATACTGTATGAGGAAGAGAAATGCAAGGCTTGGTCCTTAAGATCCCCTTTCCTATTTGCCAAGAAGAAATGTTAGATTGGTTTTAATGAAATATAAACTAAACAAAGCTTTGCTCAGAAGATGATTATTTACTAAATAAATTCTAAAGCAGCAGATCAGAACAAATATGACTCACATAGAGCAAACTTAAATCCTACACTGGGATAAACACTTCAAAACTAAACTCCACTCCAAAAAAAAAACAACATGAGTTTGTAGGAGCCTTAGTTCCACTGAGAATTTGTGCTTTTAAATCTCTCAGAATTTTAAAGATGTACTCTAGGTGAAAGCAATGAGCAAGAAACAAGCTACAGAATAAATCTAAAATACAGTCTGCATGTAGGAGTTTCTCTTCTCCTGACACACAGAATTTCAGTTGCAGTCGGTGAAGTCATAGGTATGTGGGAAGACTGAAGAGTCTTATAGCACAGCAGTGGTTCCCAGCTGACGAGAAAAGTAGCCACTGTCACTCCACAGACTGAGTAGGTAATGCCAAGGAAGCTCAGTGGAAAGGCAGGCAAAATGGGTCAACAGAGAAGGAGGGGAAAAAACCCAAACACAAAACCCCAAATCAAACCATTCTGCTAAGCCACCTGTGCAAAATGTGGGATCTTGGAAAGGTCAGGTGTTATTATCCAATGAAAATGTAGAGTGCACAGAATAAAATGAATTAGTTGTTGCAAAGCATCTAGACATTCTGGGAACTGATCCAGTAGGAACAGCAAATGATCAAACAAAAATAGTGCTGAGTTCTAGGAGAAAAATGTGAATGTTGCTGTCTTACAGCATTTTCAGGTAGCTCAGACAGCAACAAACAAGATGCAGAGCAATGGGTTATAAATGCACTGTAAAGATTTATTTGCTTAAGCTGGAAGGTGCTGGGATCTGGTGGAATGTACCTCCATGCTTTGAGGGAGGAAACCTTGTGTGCTGGTTTCAGTTCTGCTTTAGCCCTGCTGTGGGGAATGGCACCCTTCTTTTGAAGGCATCAGTGAAATAAAACATTGAGGTGCAGGGAACATCATCTTCTCTCTGCTGGCATCAGTCTGTAATATCTTACTCTTTAAAGTGTCACTGACTCACTGAAATGTATTTTGTACACCCCCTCAGCTTAGTCTTATAGCTCACATCAGGAGATCTCCTGGGTTTAGATTGAATTATGGCTCTGGGCTGCTGGAGGTTCTCATTTTCAAGGAATTAGAGCTTGTCTCCAAAACCTCAACCTTTCTTCTTGCAAACCAAAGCTCAGTCCATTGAGTCACACAATGAGCAAGGGAAGCATGGCAGCTGGAGGGACCATTGATGAGGCTGTGTCCTGTCAGAGAGGAGTCTCACCAAATGATACAGCTCCAGCTGATCCCATGTTGCTGGGCAGCAAGTCACAACATTTTGCAGAGTCACCAGTAGAACTATGGAGGTGAACAAGGTGTGGGGGGAGCAGTTCTGTGCCACTGTTATGCAGCTTAGGTTTGGCATTTCTGGGGTCACCCACCCTAAGAATGACATAATGGATCCACCTATTTAAAAGAAACAGAGCCCAAGCCTCAGTGAGCTGTGTAAAAAAGGTGGCTGATTGCTCATGCAATGATTTTCCAGCTGCTTTGGGGATAATTGGACATAGAAATATCTCCTTCATTTTGATGGGATTTTACAATAATTGCTTCACTCCTTAATAACTTCAGTCCCACTGACCCTACCAAAGTATCACATTGTTTGGAAGGAGGAAAGATACAGTGGAAAACTGCTTTCAACATCCTTTCCACAGACTGGAAGATATTTGTTAACACACCTTAAACCTCCTTCCTTTCCTGAAACTGCAGGACCATGGGTCTGGATATATGATTCCTCACCTAGCCAGTGTTGAAATGTTCAGGTACCACAATAAAAAGGGCATATATTTACCTAAGATAGTACACTAATTTAAGGTTCTATTAGACCTCCATTTTTAAGACATGCCTGACACTCATTAATTTAATGTTAATTTGCATTTAGCAGCCCTAATGATTATATAGGTCAAGAAAACTAAAATATCCTTGTTCTCTTGGGTTTTCTTATCTCCTTAGAGTACGCTCGATTTGAGGCAAAAATCCATGACCTGCGTGAGCAGATGATGAATCACAGCATGAGTTCTGGGTCTGGCTCCCTGAGGACTAATCAGAAGAGGTCACTGTATGTCAGGTAAGCAGGAAGAGCCTTCTCTGGGAATATGTCAGCAGCTACCTTGCCTGTGTCTGACGTGTGTTGTTGGTTTGGCCTGGTGGGAAAGTCTGAGGAACTGCTTTGAAATAAATTGAGAAATACATCCATCTTACAAGCACAGCATCATTAATGAGAAAATTGGATAAAGGCCCTATTTGCCCTATTTGACCATTTCAAGTAATGTGCAAAGAGCATTACACTTTTATAGTGATTTGGGTTTATGTGATGAACATTTCTTAGCTCTGTCAATATCTGAGATGGATACTGTGGAGTAATGACAGAACGTGTTTCTGTGTGAGGTCTTGCCCAGACATGGAATGAGTGTTCTCAGGAAGAGCAGCTTTTTGCCAAAACCTTTTCCTTGCAAAACACAAACTCTTGTATGCTACTCTAAATGCATGGCAATCTGCTACTATCCCCTCACATATATTTACCCTTCTATCAGTCTATGCTGCAAAAAATTTGCCATCTCTGTAGCAAGACCAAATGTGCAGATTACATGGTAAACAAGCTGCTATCCATGCTTAAATGGGGTGGTGAATAACAAAGGAATTACCTTTGTCACTTATTGGGAGCAGTGGTTGTAGTTTCACCTTGCCTGTGTACGAGTCTCTTGCCAGACTGGGTGTTGCCCAATTGCCCCAGCAAAATTCTTGCTGTCCCTCTCCCCTTTTGGGACTCATGGAGACTGTGACAATCTGTCAAGTATTTTAATAATCTTAATAATTATGCTTCTCTAGGCTTTCATTTTCATTCTCCCCTTTGTCCCCTCTATCCTCCCCATGCTCAGCATATAATTTGAAATTCCTGACAATCATGAAGTAGAGGGAAGCAATTTGTCAGCCTCTAGGCAGTGATAATTATTCACAGGGGAGCTAATTCAGGTGATAACATTGCAGAGATCCAATTAAGGCTAAATTCTACATATTGTCATTATGCTCTCAGCATGAAGGAGTAAGGTAGCAGAGAAGGAAGGGAAACTTTAATGTTAGCATGAAGGGTCTTGTTCTAATGGGCAACAACCACATGAAGCACTAATTGGTACTGCTGTCAGAAAGAGCAATGACTGAAGGGAGATGGATCACTCTTACCAGTGATGTTGCTCTTGGGTAAGGTCAGATTAGAGGTGTTGAAGTTTTCAAGGCATCTCTAACTTTCTCTGACCTGAAGCAGGTTTTTTCCAGACCAGAGTGACTTTGTTGTCAAGAGCTTTGGTCAGCTCCCTGAATTTGCATTTTATGAAAAGCTGCAATTATGTGTGTAAGGATGGATAGATCCAAGCTTCCTTTCTTGAGATAAGCCAGGAACCCAAAATGTAGGGATTAATGGTGTGAGAAGCCCAAGCCAGCAACTGTAGGTTAATTGAGGTGTACACATAAAGGGCTAACACCAGGATCTTGAACACCTCACTGCAGTTTGAACTGCAGCAAAGCTTGACCCTCCCTGTATGAGCATTGGTCTGGGAAGCTCTGCTGAGAACTGAGGCTTATTAACTTGCACTCTGAGCCAAGCTGAGATATCTGTGCTGCATCTGGACTAGCCTAGCTCTTCTGTACAGTATTGCTCCGTGTGCACTGATGAGCCTGGTTTTCTGCTAGTTCATGAATTCTGGCTGTGATCTGTCTCACTAAGCTGCCATGCCCTGGTGCTTCACTGCAGGAGCCTCTGATGTCTTAGCTGCTTATCTAAATGGCACTTCCCAAACCACAAATGCAAAACCTGTTCTTTTATTCCACAGTCGTTCCAACAAATGCCCCAAACCTCTGAAGCAGAAAGCCACAAAAGCCTCAGTCACTTTTGTTAGTGTTTACTTTTTTCTCTCAAAGCCACACAATTGGCTGTGTCCATGTCTGAACAGCCTGCTTGAGAGGCTCTGTATCTCTATATATTACCAAAGCGTGTTTGTGGTGCAGCAGGACCTGCAGCCTTGTGCCTGTCACTGTCAGCTCAATTCACGTGCACTAATTGCAAAGGTTGTTTGTGTCTATGTTAGGCACTCAGGAAAAATAAATGTGGGCTCAGAAATGTACTTGTTTTCAGAGATGAAAATTTTCTCATTATGGATACTCTTTACAGGCAGGGCCCATGTAAAAAGCTAGAATCTAGCATTTGGTTTCTATTCTTACAATTCAGGACATTTCTGTTTCAATGGATTATTTTAGTCAGCATGTGCAAGAGAGCTAGAGGCAAATGACCATATGTTGTTGTAAATCTCTAGCTGTAATGCCAAGTTTATGATTCAAGTTTGCTGTTTTCCTTTCTTTGGGATGTAGTGATTTTGCTGTCCTTCACTGAGTATGGCAAGCATGTTTTTTTTTAACCAGAAAGCTTAATTGAAGCAAATCACTATATTCTAGGCAACACAAAGAAACAAATTGAGATCCAGATAGGTTGAAATAGTTGAAAATAAGTGTCATTACCTACTCATAGGAAAGCCAACAAAAGAGGGTGAGAAAAAGTAAAGCTACAGTTATGCCAATGGGTGTGGGGTTTATTGGATGCAGGGATTTCTTCTTTACCTTACAGTCTGTGATTTCCCCATCCAGCCCCCACTATAAAAGCACTGAGATATGTGAAAGAAGCTATATTCAGTTAAGTGAGACAAAATGTAATATAGAGTTAAAGGGTTGAATGTAGGACCACAAGTAGGCGGCTAAAAGCAATTAAAGTCTCACTTCAGGAGTGTAAACAACACAGGAAGGAAATCAAGAATTACTTGTTCAGAGAAATTGTGTAGCTCTTTGACATGATCTTTTATCTCTGCATACTCTGTTGTTTCAGATTTGTATTATCTTTTTCTTTCTTTTTTTCTGTCTGTCTTTCTGACACGTCCTGTATTATTTCCCATGAATTTCCTGGATTCCTTTTTTCATTACTGCCTGTTGCTTTTTATCACAGACCCTGTATCTCTGTTTGGGATGTCATCAGAGAGTCCACAACACTAAAGGCAAAATATGAGTCTCCAGGGGAGGATGGAGCAGTAGGAAATACTTCTAGTCCTTTTGGGAGCTCACAACCTCTTTGTCACTAAATCTGTTGAGAAAAAGAAATGCAGAAAGTGGGAGAATGGATAGGAAACATAGAAAATGTTATTATTCATGCTTTATTTGGTGGTGAAAGTGAAAGAATTTAAATTGAATTCACTAATTGCAATGATAGGCTAAAACAAAATCTGCTCTTATCTTCTTTTAAGTCATTGGAATTCAGTCATCGGCTCATGATCAACCGGGAGAATAAACAAACCCATCACCAGCTAAACATTGTGCTATATACATGCATAGCAGGGTCTTATGCAAATTCATGTCTTCCTTTTTGCCTTTTTAGCTCAAGGTTTTAAAATCTGTTCTTGTAAGATTATATATTTCTTTGTCTTGATATAAATACGTGCTTTGCTTTATCCTTCTAGGTCCCTATCAGTACTTAAATTTCTAGGTTACATATGGTTACTGTTGCTACTCCTAGGAAATGCCAGATCATGTTATTTAACTCAGAGGCTGTGGAACATGACAGCCTTTTGAAGAGTTAAGCATCAGAGAAATACAGTTCTTTAAAAAGTTTGGTGAATTGGAGTCACTGAAACTTTAACTTTCAAACTTTGGAGGAAACATAGCTTAAGCAGTTTTCCTGTTGTTTTACTAGATTATTCCTGAGCTTAAGGTACTTGTGTTAGATTTCTGAGGATAAGAGTAGATGCCCCAGTAATTGCTACTGCACATGCAAAGAAAAGGTTTTCAGGGAAGTATCTGGCACCCAAAACTGCTGTCTTAGTGTCTGGTTTTGGTTCACAGATGAAAAGTAGTGAGATACACTTAGCATAAACAGTCACCATTTAAGCTTTATTCAAACCAGACAACTTCTGAAATAATGTTTGTATTTAAAAATTCCAGTTGTCTGAAGCCACAAGCAGGCACCGTGGAGGTGTATCACTGCAGAAATAACTCTAAAGCTTCACACCCCCCAACCCTTTCACTGCCACTTCTCTGTTTAAAGTCTGTTCAGTCCTGTCAGTGACCAAACCTGATTTCACCTCATCAGGGCTCCTTATTGCCATGTATGAAGGGTTGAGTTTACTGAAATGCAGCTCTTTCAGCTTCTGCGCTACTTTCAAATATATGAGTACAAAGTGCATGGTACAGTTGGCTGTAAAGGTGGGGATGGAAATCAGGGCTGGGACAGGACTGAATCCAGCTGCAGTGTGGGAAGAAGTGGTTCTGCAGCTGCCTCTCCACTGTGCATGGAAAAGCACTGCAGTGGGAAGTGAGCCCAAGGCTCTTCCCAACAAGATGAAGATGCTTACAATCAATCTTTTTATTTCCAGTCTATGTTGCACTATCTATAAAAAATGTGCACGGTGCAAAGAGATGCCTCCTAATCTACTACATTTTTGTCTTCTTCTAACTGGAATTATTGCTAAGCATTTCATAGCTGTGATAGATATGGGCCATACAAATATGTAGTATTATGTGTCAAAAATGTGTGTGTTGTGGTTCATTTCTTATTGAGCCATGAGGAAGAACCTGGAGATTTGCCATCACAGCTTAGCAGAAGGGAAGTCAAAGCTGAGGTACTTTGGGTGGTTTACTGTCATTGTCAGCACAATGGATTCTCCCTTAGGTATTAGACACCTTTACACAAATTTCCTGAACTTAGAAATTAGCATGTTGCCATATCATAGAATCACAGATGGTTTGGGTTAGAAGACACTTTAAAGATCATCTGTTTTCAAACCCCTGACATGGGCAGGGACATCTTCCACTAGTGAGACTTCGATTTCCAACAGGTCAGAGAAATTCTCAGTTTCGAAGTTCTCAGAGCTACAATTGAAATTCTTTTGAGGGAGTTTGTGAAGATTGAGTCTGATATCCAGGGCTTGTTCCATGCAATGTCAGTTACAACCACCTTCAGTCTCCCTGTCTTCTTTGAGGCAGTGAACCCCCTCAGGCAAGTGAACATCAGGTCAAGGCTGCATGGGCAGAATT